GCCACCGACGCCCCACCTGAGCTCCAGCAGCAATCAACCACGGGTCATCCACTCGCAATGCGGACACCAGGGCAAGACAGAACTCGATTACATCCCGCCCGACGGCCCGCGGCTGCACCCACTTTTTGCAGCGAGGTCTGCGACAGCGCCAGAAAGAGCACTTTTGAAGTCCGCGGGCGCCAATTTGGTCCAAGACAGTCAGACGCCGATCGTGACAAGCGGTGGGGTCCACCCAGAGCGAACTCAAGCACGAAATCCAAAGAGACTAGATCGCGAGAGGGGAAGAGCCAGGAGCTCACCCAGACCGTGAAAGCCAGCGTGGGGCTGCCGTAAAAGATGTGCGCGCGGGATGCGTAGCAAGCGGCGTGTGGCAAGGGCCGGGACTTGTAGAGGAAGGAGTTCTTGGAAAGGCACATGGCGACCATCACGTGCTGGGCCCAGGTAAACTTGCACGGGCAAGGCAGCGGCCAGAACCAACACAGAAGACCCTACAATCAGACATCCTCGCCACCGAGTACACCGACATCGTTGTCCACCTTGGCCCTGCCTTCATCGCAGTCAACACCCCCAGGGGTTGGGTGAACAGGTTGTGCAACCACCACTACACCGCCGGCTTCCTAGGCGCCACACGCCAGCCTTGAAAAGGCGATTTTGCATGAGCCATCAACCACGCCATCGCAACTTGTTTTGAGGCAGCAGCACATGGGAGGTCGACAAGACCTTGTTCCACTGGACATCGAGGCCCATTCACGTCCCCATACTACCGCAGCGTCACGTGGCACAGGCGCATCGAGGACGGCACGCGACAGACCACGGCAGATGAGAGGGTGGGCACCAATCTAGAGACTATGGGATACTGCCAAGGAGCGCGCCGACAACGACCACATCTACTCCAAGATCGCGCACCAGGGCACGCCGGGAAATACCTTGACCAACACCCAGCATATCCACAAGGTCTTGACGGGGCAGGTCTACCATTCGACCACCTACGCCGAGGAAGTTTCAAAGGTGACCGACTTCATCTTCCACGCCACCAGCGCCGACGGCACGATCGCCGAAGGGCAATGAGGCCATGCCATTGCTTCTCTACGTGGCCGACGCCGTCGCCACCAAGGGAGCTAGAGCGATCCACCCACGCACCGACGACAGCGTCCACGGCTCATCGGATTGGCACATGACAGCACAGACCTTTGGAGGGCCCCGTGCCGATGACGACGACCCAACCGGAAGGCAAACGCCACTGCGGTGGACGAAGGGTTGGACTACCTCCGACGCTACAGCGCGGAGTACCGAGTCCCACCAATGGCATCGGGAAAGTGGAGCTCCACGGGCCAGCCGACGTGCAGCCGTTCGGCCAGGCGACCACTATTGTTGCCGATCCCACGAGGATCGCGCCCGCGGAGGCAATTTTGGCACGACGGCCGCCTGAACCGCGCCAGGCGACGACATCGCATGAACCGGAGCCAATCATCGTTGAAGGCGCCCCAGGACCCATGGCCCACCTCGACAACCTCACCCGCGAAAGGGCCATTAGAGCGCCTGCGGCCGAGCACAATTTGCGCAACAGCTTCAGACCACGGAGTCCGCTTGCAGCTCGCCGGCTTCATCATCCCGCACAAGAGGGCCTCCGAGGTGACCCCCCGCAGTCCCGAGCGCAGCTAAATCTTCAGACGTGAAAGATCCAGGAAGGCATGCGCCAGCCGCAGCAAAGAGGCGATTGATGCGCAGCCAATGCCAACCGCGACGCGCTACCAGAACCAGCGGAGGCCTTTACGCTGCACCCGAGACCAACCACACCTGCCCCCCCCCCCCTCCTCACGGGCACACCCCGCCGCCTGCATACATTGCCGCGGCGAAAGTTTCTTATAATTTGCCTTTTGGCGTGACGCGCTCGCGCGGAGTAGTTCGGAGTAGTTTTACTAAATCTACTCCGCGCGCAATCGCATCCCGCTCGATCTTTTCTCTGGTTTGGCGCGAGTAGTTTCCGATCCCGTTTTGGGGTAACAGAGCTATTAACGTCTCCTGGATCGGAAACTACTCCGCCGAATGACCCCGGCATCATGTCATGTTGGGAATTTTGAGCCGGATGGAAGAGAACTTCATCACGGCAGATTGCAATTTTTGTCACGGCTGTGTATCCTTTCGACCACCGACGATGGAGCGTAGCTCATCTCACCTGGCGGCAGAGGGAGCTGCGCAACCCGCGCATGTCGTTTGCAGAGTCGCCGGCTGCCGCGCCCGCAACCATGGGCCCCGCATTTCAGACCCTCGCCATACGGGTGGAAGGACCAGGTGATCCACGAGCCGAGGCGGCGACCGCACCATAGGGCTGCTGCCGCTGCCGGTGAAGTGCTGGTCGCGCACGCGCGCGACAGTCACCGACGAGCGTTTGGAGGCGCTGGAGCAACGCTGGGGCACGGCGACCAGGGGCTGCTCGGTCCTCGACGAGAGCGCGGTGGCCATGGGCTTCTGTGCGATCGAGGCGCTGGTGGACGAGGGGCGCTTCTTCGACGGCATCGACCGGATCGCGCTGCTGGCGGTCGCGGAGCAGGGGGCCTTCCCCGCGGCTGTCGCCCTCTGAAGGCGCAAGTCAAGCCCAGTTGGCGCCCCGCCGGCTTCGCCGGCATGGCTGGAGTTCGCTGCCATCTGGGCGGAGCGTAGCGTTGGATCGTTTCGGGTAGCAGCCGCGGCGCGAAGGTCGGCAAGCTGTTCTCGCGCCCGCTGCTGCAGCGCGCGAGCGTGTGATCGCCGAAAAATGGATTGCAGGACTTCGTGGACGACGCGATCCTGGGGGCCGAGGGTCTCGAGCGGGTCGCGGTGGACCAGATGGCGGGAGCCCTGAGGGAGTTCGGCGAGTGTTGCCAGGCGGCGAGGCTCACCATCTCCGACCAGTCTGTCATCGTGGTCTCGGACATGGATGCGGCGCAGCAGGTGGCGAGTGGCGCAGGCAGCCCCGGCCCCCCTCGGGGCCGTCGAGAAGGCGGGGGGCCTCGGGGCCAGCGCGACGGCGAGCGAGACGCGAGACCAGAGCCAGTTCCGCAAGCGAGCCAAGACGGCCGCGAGGACGCCGCGGGGCATCCACCGCATGCGACGGAAGGCGCGCCAGCGCTGATCTACGGCCGCCAGGTCTTCGGAGTGGCGCCGACGGCCTTGCTGAGGCTCAGGCGCCAGGCCAGCCGCGCGATCGCGGGCAGGGGCTCCGGGAGGTGCCTGGCCACCGTGCCAGCGCTCACGACGATCCGGGGTGGCCCCGCCGCGCCGGCTGGCGGGCGGGTGGGCGCAGTTCTGGCGGTGCTCTCCCGCGCGCAGGCCGCGGGTGCAGCGGGCGTGGGAGTTGCTGCGCCAGAAGTTGAAGGCCCCGCCGCGGGCCAAGAGGTGGGCCAGGGTGCGCGGCGCCACCTCGGCGGTGATTTGCGCGCTGCTCACGGCGGGCTGGGGCGCGCCCTCGGCGACCACCTGGCACTCCGACGTCGAGGGGGCTTGGCAGATGAGCGAGGACATGGAGGTCGACGACGCCGAGATGCTGGGCGAGTTCGCGGCCGGCATCAAGCGGGCCTCGTGGGCCAAGGCTGCTCGCCCTGATGCCGGAGGCGGGCTCGCAGAGGGGGCCGACCTGCAGCGACGACCCTCGCCTGTGGCGGCGCAGGGCGGGCGCGGTCGCCCTGGAGGGCTCGCTGCAAGCGACGGGCGAGCTGGAGGTCGCCGCCGGCGTGGCGGGGGGACTCCCCGGGCCGAAGCAGACGGCGCCGAGGTCGGAGCTGCGCGCCTTCGTCATCGCGCTGCGCCGCGCGCGAGGAGGCCTCAGGTACCTCGCTGACCGCGCGCCGCCAATGCACGGGCGGCGGCAGCGGCGCCATCTATGCCCGAGCGGCAAAATGGCGGATTTGTGGTGGCATATTGGCAGCGCCATTCGAGCACTTGGCGAAGGTGAGAATATCGAGATGCGCTTTCTACACAGCCACCAGGAGACACAAGAAGTGGCGATGAGACGGCTCAGGAGTTGTTTCATCTTGCAGGCAACGTGTACAACGTGTGTGCCGATGGGCTTGCATAGAGCGCCGCTGCCACGTCCTTGGGCAGAGCGTCGTTGAAGCCAGGAGTGCTCTTGGTAGATGCAGTAGCGTATATGGTGCGTAAGAGAGCTGTGCGAGCGCATCAGGTTTGCATGGAAGCTGCTCCTTTGAATTCGGGTGTTGACCCAAAACCGAAGCAGAATGTGAACAGGCAAGCGAGGCTTCTAGAGCCCCCCCCCCCCACCCTCGGGAAAGTCGGGGCCCGCTGTAGTTGCAGAGTTTGCGAGCAAACTTTGCAGCATGATGTCCTACCAGCTTTTGCCTGCACTCCGCGTGCTCCCAATCCGTGCGGAGGTGGGTGCGGCATGCGTTCGATCGAGGGGCGTGGAATTTGTGAGGGTGGGGGGTGAGGACCTGCACTCTTCGCATTCCCTGATGTATGTGGACTGTATGGACTTGTATGTGTGCACGACTTGTGGGTGCTATGCCAGCTTGCACGCAGCGTCGCTGTCGGGCGAGCGTCGTCCACGAACAGCAAAGGACAAGCAACATGTGAAACGCGTTTCATGTGGTAGGTGGCCCCACCCCAAAGTGATACTTAAGGCGGCGCAGGAGGCGCTAGCTTGAAGGGAGGGTGTCGGGCCCGCGCCCGCGTTGCTGCTTCTTCCGCCGCCGCCGCTCGCGGGCCTGATGGGGATCGGCGTCAGCGAGAGCGGGCTGGAGAGTCAGGATGGGCAGCAGCAGTAGCATGGAGGGCAGGTAGAGTGATCCAAATGCACGTTGTACATTTCTGATGATGCCAGCGTGCCCTGGCGGAGCGTTTCCAGAGCACGCAGAATTGCTTCGAGCACGACCTGGCGCTTCTCAGTGTATTTCCAGGGTGCACCTCCTCCTGCTCCTCGTCCTCCTTCCCCTCCTCCTCGTCCTCCTCCTCCTCCTCCTCCTTGTGCGTCTCCTCTTTCTCCTCGTTCGCCTCCTCCTCCTCCTCCTCCTCCTCCTCCTCCTCCTCTCCTTCTCCTCCTCCTCCTCCTCCTCCTCTTCCTCCTCCTCCTCCTCCTCCTCCTCCGTAGCCATTTTTTGGCCCAAGCCTCGCTTGGACCCCGTGCGGGGTCCAAACGGGGTGCGAGCCCCGTTGCCTGTCTGGCTCAGTGGGCTGCCCGACGCGCGTGGGGTCTCCTTCGGGGCGCGCGGCGGGGCGGGGTGAAACAGGCACGTCGTTAGCGGTGGCGCGCGACGAAAAATCCGACATTTTGTCGGTGCCTGCGGCCGCCTTCTCCCCTAACCTCCAACCTCCATGTCCCTCCTCGCCGGTGGCCCGGGGCGGCTCGCTGGTGGCCCGGCGCGGCTGGGCGGCGGAGGCTGGGCGGCGTGGCTGGCGCCTGCCGCGGAGGAGGAGGCGTTCTGCAGGTCAGCGGCTCTGGCGGCGTGCAGGCTGGAGCAGGTGGAGTGCGTAGACCTCAGCGAGTGCGAGGTCGCCACGGAGTTCGAGGTCGACACGGAGTGCGTGGACTACTCCGACCTCGCGGCGCAGCTCGCGCAGGCGCAGGAGCTGTGCGATGCGCTGGCTGACGAGTGCATGGAGCTCCGTGCCCTCGCGTGGCGGCTGCGGGGAGGCGCTCGCGGCAAGCCGCACGACGAGCTGGTCGTTGGCGGCGGCTACGAGGTGGACGACGGCGTTGACGCTGACGGCAGCGACTGCGAGGCGCTGGGCGAGCTGGAGAGCATCGTGGGGTGCGACGGCAACGCTTTCGGCAAGGAGAGCATCGTGGGGTGCGACGGCGACGTGTTCAGCAAGGACGGCAGCGGTTGCGAGGCGCTGCTCGCGAAGGAGAGCATCATGGGGTGCGACGGCGACGCTTTCGACAAGGACAGCGTCGCGGGGTGCGACGGCGACGCGTTCGGCAAGGGCGGCAGCGGCTGCGAGGCGCTGGACGCGCTGGAGCGCATCGCGGGGTGCGACGGCGGCGCGGTCGGCAACGTGGAGAGCATCGTGGGGTGCGACGGCGACGCGTACGACGGCGACAAGTTCGGCAAGGACAGCATCGTGGGGTGCGACGGCGACGCGTTCGGCAAGGTCCCGCCCTTCCCGACGCTCTCGGAGGTGGCCGTGGAGAGCGAGCTGGAGCTCAAGGATGCTCCTGCCCAGGCTGGCGCTCTTGGTCAGGCCGTGCTGGGCCCGAGAGTTGCCTGCTGGGCCGACGCGCTGGAGCAGCAGCAGGCGGGCGAGCAGTGCGAGCAGTTCGTGGACCAGCGCGACTGGGACATGGTCTTCCTGGCCAACAGTGCCGCTGCCGCCAGGCGTGAGGCAGCGCTGGACGCCCGCGCGGCCGCGGAGCGCCTCGTGCAGGATGTGCTGGTCGAGATGCCCGTGGACGTCGAGGCGTTTGGGTGCAAGAAGAAGGCGAAGAAGAAGCAGCACAAGAAGTTGCTTCGGGCCGACGTCGTGGGGGCGACTGTGGGCTTGGACAGCGTGGCGGCGGAGGACCCTCGTCCTCCTGGCGCGGCGGGCGTCTGGGCTTTCCTCGAGAAGGCCTACGCCGCGGGCGTGCCGCCCGACATCGCCGCCAACCTGGTGCGGGACCAGGTGGTCCTCTGATGTTCGTCGTGGTGGGCCTCGGCGAGCTCAAGGACTGGCTCAGAAGTTGGGGGCACCCTTTGATTGCCCTGGGGACTCGTCTGCCTGACGAGTGCGGAGTTCGTCGCGGTGCACCTCGGCGAGCTCGTGGCGGTCCTCCGAGGAGGCCGCGCCCGCGCGCGTGGCCGCGCGCGGGCGCCTGCGTGGCCGACAGTCCGCGCAGATGCTTGCGGAATCCTCCTCCTCCTCCTCCTCCTCCTCCTCCTCCTCCTCCTCCTCCTCCTCCTCCTCCTCCTCCTCCTCCTCCTCCTCCTCCTCCTCCCCCTCCTCGTTTTCCTGCGCCTCCTCCCCCTCCTGCGCCTTCTCCCGCTCCTTCTCCTCCTTTCCCAGCCCGGCCTCCCGGCCCCTCGCCCGCCGCCCTCAGGCAGGGCGGCCCGTGGCCTTCTGCACGCTGGACGCTGGGGCGAAGGACCTCTGGGCCGGGCCGTGGCGTGCTCGCCGGGGTCTGTGAGAGAGGCCACCCCAAGGCCCCCTGGACTTCACAATGCAGATAGGGATGGGCCTACTTTTTCTGGGGGTCTGATTTGGGCTCTGTCTCGGGGGGCTTCTGGGGGTCTGCGCCAAATTCAGCTCTTCCGTGTGTGTGTGTTGTTTTTTGTTGGTGGTGTGACCCCCCTCTGTATTTTGAAATTCGGAGCAGCGAGAAGGAGGAGGCAGCGAGAAGGAAGTGGAACAGCAGGAGGGGGTGGAGGAGGAACAGACAGGAGAGGGTGACGAGGAGAGGAGGCAGATGATCGGTGGACTTATTGGTGCCAACTCGAGGTAACCAGGAGGAGGAGGACGAGGAGAGGAAGAGGAGGAGGAGGAGGAGGAGGTGGAGGAGGAGGAGGAGGAGAAAGTGGCGGAGGAAGAGGAAGAGGACGAGGAGGACGAGGAGCACGAGGAGCACGAGGAGGACGAGGAGGACGAGGAGGACGAGGACGAGGACGAGGACGAGGACGAGGAGGAGAGAGGAGGAGAGGAGAGGGGAGAGGGAGGAGGAGAGGAGGAGGGAGGGAGGAGAGAGGGAGGAGGAGGGGAGGAGGAGGAGGAAGGAGAGGAGGAGGAGGAGGAGGAGGAGGAGGAGGAGGAGGAGGAGGAGGAGGAGGAGGAGGAGGAGGAGGAGGAGGTAGTTGTGGTGGTGTTGGTGGGGCTGCTGCTGCTGCTGCTGGGCGAGGAGGGGGCGCATGAGGAGGATAATCTGCAATGGCAGGAAAATGCTGATACGGAGCAGGAGGAGGAGGAGCAAGAGGAGGTGGAGGAGATGGAGGAGGAGGAGGAGGAGGAGGAGGAAAAAGAGGAATAAGAGGAGATGGAGGAGGAGGGGGTGGAGGAGGAAGAGAAGGAGGAGGAGTGGGCGGAGGGGGGGGTGCTCGCGGGGGAAGAGGCGAGGAACACGCGAACCCGAGGAGAACCTCGTGCTCGGGGCGCGCTCGTTCGTCGACGCGTCAGGCCACCCCCTGGACCTGTCGGCCAGGCGCCGCCAGTTCTCGCGCGTGGCGCGTGGGTTTGCCTGCGGCGGATGTCGCCGTACAGCAAGCGAGTTCTCAGGGAAACTGGTCGTGAGAGCTCTCGCCGTTTTCGGGCTCTCCGGGTCTTCCTCGGGCCCCAGGACCGTCAAAAACTACTCAGGATGGAGAGCTGGTCCCGGGGGAGGTTTCCAGGGTCCTTGGCCTGTTTCCCTGAGGACCCGCTTATCTCATGCCAAGGATCCCCCTTCCCCAAGGGGTGCGTCAACGATGTCGCAATGCGGCTGGCAAGAGGCTTACGGGCAACCAGCTTTGGAGGGGCACCCTTATAGCCAGTATGTGTTTGGACGTTCCCCCCAGGAGTGTGCCTCGTTTCGGGCATCTCCGAGGGAACTTTGGCCCTCGGCGAAATTGCTCGCGAGCTCCTGCTCGTGACTCACGTTCTTGTGGCCATGGTTCGACTGCGTACCCTCTCGTCTCAAGTCCCACACTCACCATTCGCGGCAGGCATAATTAATCGCTTCGCTCATTCCGCCTGCCCGTACTGTGCCATCGTTGGCGTTTGCGCGCGCGTTCGTGGGCCATGCGGCGCTGCTGGTCGGCGCTGCTGCGGCTGTGGGTGAGAGTCCTCATGGATGCTTCTTGGTGTCTTCTCGGAGGGTTCTCGGGAGGCTCCCGTGTCGCAGTTTTGAGGGCTCTTAGGGGGCGTCCTGGGGGCGCCTTGGATGGGAGGGTCGATGATTGGTGGAGGTAGGGCTCGGATGTCACCGCCCAGAAACACGTACAGTCGCGGCGCTGAAGAGGGGGCCCTTTTCGTTGGGGAGGGGCTCCGTGGTGTTCCTTCACTGTTTCACAGCTTGCCTCGGGTCTTCCCCAGGCTCTTGACGGGAAGTCGAAGCTCAACTTGGGGAGCAGAGGGGCCTCGTTCCTTACTTCGGGTTCCTTCGGTCAGCGCCCCGACGGTGTCCGTGTCCGCGGCCTCTCGGGCCAGGCCCCTGGGCCCCGCGCGGAGCGCAGCCGTGCGACCGCGCACCCTCGAGCCCTGCGCCCCGGGAGCCCGGGCCGCGAGGGCGCGGGCGCGCGCGTGCTCGCCGCCTCGTGGGCCCGGATCCTGCAGCCCCAGCGGAGAGGTGCAGTGGAGGCCCATGCCAAGAACAGCCGATCCGAGAAATCCGCGCGGACCTCAGAGTTTTTATGTTCATGCCACTTTTTGTTCCCCTAGAGGTGCAGTGGAGGCCCATGCCAAGAAGCACCTTGCAAGGCCCGACTGACTCGGGTCTGGACTCTGCGAGGCTTCCTGCAGGACTCTGCAGGGCCTGACTGGCCCGGGTCCGGATTGGCCCGGGTCAGAAGGTCTCCGATGGCCTCGCGTTCTTTGTGGCCTCGGCGGCTGCAACTGGAGGGGGGAGTTCGCCCAGGGAGAAGCGCTGCTCCCCGTGGAAGTACCCCCAGCAGCTCTGACCACCCATGTCTTCTGACGAACGATCAACACGCACCCATACCCATAGGGGAGACGGAATGAGCTATGGGTGCGTGTTGTCGGATAGGGGTCCCCGCTCGAACGGGAGCCTCCTCAGGGGTCCGACAACCCGCACCCATGCCCATAGCCAGTCCTTCTCCCTCCGACCTCCCTATGGGTATGGGTGTGTGTTGTTCGCTCGTCGTCTCCGACGGGGCTCCCCCGCGAACCCGCGCACAGCGGGGGCCCCCTGCCGAGAAGCACCCTGCCTGCCTCCGGGGTGCCCTGGGCTTCCTGGGCTTCGGTGGCTGTGCCACGGAGGCCCGAGGGCGCGACGCTCCCACCCCCAGAAGTCAACAGAGGACGCCCTCCTCCTCCTCCTCGACCTCCACCTGCTTCTCCTCCCCTTCCTTTTGCTTCTCCTCCCCCTCCTCCTCCGCCTCCTCCTCCTCCACCTCCTTCTCCTCCTCCTCCTCCTCCACCTCCATCCTCCTGCTCCTCCTCCTCCTCCTTCTCAACTGCGTCCTGGGGTCTCAGGGTCGGGCTTCTTGGGGAAGGTCGCTCGTGGTCTTACCAGCCTCGAACTTATCCCTATCCCTAAGATTGACACGCCAAAAAGCGATGACAGTCTTAGGGACGCGCCCTCAAAAAATAAAGGAACCCCTAAGGTTGGCATCGTGATGAGGAGATGCCCAGCATAGGGATAGGGACGTGGATGGTGCCTCGCCTGGTGGAGTTCCCTTTCCCTCAGGGGGAACGCTGGCAATTTTCATCATCGCGCATTGACTGTATGGGTGTGTGTGTGTGTGTGAAAAAAACCAACAACAAAGGACGTCCTGGGGTCTCAGGGTCGGGCTTCTTGGGGAAGGTCGCTTGTGGTCGGGCCTCTGCTGCAACGCGGCACTGTGTCAGCTCTGCGCCCGCCCCAGGCCCCCGATCTCGAGCTCGGCGTCGAGCCGGCCGCGGCCGACGCGGGGGGACGTCGGCTCGGGCGGCGTCCCCCGCGCGAGCCGTGGAACCGAGCAGGGGGAGAGTTGCATGTCCTTTCCAGGGTACGCTTACAGTCAACGCGCCTAGTAAGGACGCGTGCCTTCATCTGGGGTACCCTTGAGTCCTTGCCTCTGCGGCCCGTCCTTCGCCGTTTTCACTGGCCGCCCCCCGCCCCAAAAATCCAACTTCGGCCACCAAGGGTCTTGCGCCCTTACCACCCGTCCTTAATACACGTTTTGACTGTAAGTCGGGCCTGTCCCTCCACAGGAGGAATATGCAAAGATAGCCAACAAATAGTCAGGGGTCGATTTGTGTAGCATTCTTTGATCATTACCTAACAGCGAAGACTGATAGGTTTCTAGTGGTGTCAAAAGAGAGCATCTGATGACTCAGAAGGGAGGTGTGGGCGGCATCCGGACAGCGAGGGCCGAGCTCAGGGCCGGGCTCGTTTTAAGCAAACAGTCACACACTTCGTGCTCTTCGACCTCCCAGAACTCCATTCCCGGGCCACATTTTGAATGCCCGGAGCCAACTGTAGGCCACTTCGTGCTCTACGACTTCCCAGAACTCCATTCCCGGGCCACATTTTGGATGCCCGGGGCCAACTGTAAGCCACTTCGTGCTCTTCGAGTTCCCAGAACTCCACTCCCGGGCCACATTTTGAATGCCCGGAGCCAACTGTAGGCCACTTCGTGCTCTTCGAATTCCCAAAACTCCATTCCTGGGCATGATTTTGAATTCACCAGGTCTACACTCATCCCCATCCCTAAGAACAGCTTTTCCCTGTCCGCAGGGTCATACCCACGGGCCTCACAAGGGATTCCCAGAGGGCGTCGGCAAGGCCTACGGCAGTAGGCTCGTTCAAGTAGGTGGCATAGTAAGAATGATTCTTGAATCAGTTCAGATTCTCTCGGGGAGCGCTCTTGCTCATTCGCGCGTTCTTGTCAAGGCGCGCGGTCGGTTGTGTCCGTGTGTTTGGTGATATGTTTGGCGCGGCCATTGCGCTTGACATTGGACGTGGCCAATGAAGAGTTGCGCGTTTCCGCGTCGTCTGCATCATCAAAACAAAAACAACAACAACTCCTCCTTCTACTTTCGCTCCCCCTCCTGTGCACGCTAAACAAAACAAAGTTCGGGTGGATAGAGAGAGGGAGGGGGGAATCGGAGTTCGAGGAGAAAGTCGAGGATCAAAGGCCAAGGTGAATAGAGGGTAGGCCCGTACATCGTCTCCCCCGATAAACCCATCTACCTGTAAACCACGAGTTCGTTTACGTCTGATGTCTTGAAATCTGTGTTTTTTTCTCAGCCGAACATGTGGTTTCCCATAGATTCACCATCGTGTGAAAGATGCATGCTCTCGGGAATGCGATTTGTTCTGGTTAGCTGATTCGTCGGCTCGGCCTCTTAGTGGGCGCCGTCAGCGCAACGGGAAAGTGCAACCATTGTCATCCGTAGCCTGTTTGGGTTCAGGGGTTGTTCGCTTCAGTCGCATCTCAGAGTACGCTGTGTCTTTGTAGCTCTTAGTAGTTGTGCGATGCCCGTGCCTGGAACGCTCTTCTGGAAGGGTTCCCTTTACAAGGCCACCGCAGCTCCTGGTGGTCTGGTCTCCTTCGCGGAGTCCGTGCCTCACGTTCGGGAGGTGAAGAACGACCAGTCCGAGATGAACAGGCGCGTCAGGGCCCGCACTTGCCTCCAGAAGTGCATCGACCACATGATTAAGTTCCCCGATACCGCACAGGACGTGTGGAATAGCATTCAGGCGGGCCTCGCTGGCGACACGGTCGAGCAGTGCATTCAGAAGGCAGAGCAGGAGGTTTCGCCCGCGGACGCGCTCAAGAAGGGAGGGGCGCCCGCGTTCGGGAAAGTCGACAAGCCTGTGCTTGTTTCGATCCTGGCCGCAATGCCTGATGGCCCGAGTGCGGCTCTCTTGGACGCCATGGACGACAAGGACCCTCATGCAGTGGTGGATGGATTCAGTATCGTCTTCCAAGTGTCCTTGAAAGATCGGCTGCCGATTGAATGCAGGAGTGACATCACCATATTCGTGAACACGATGAAGCTCAGACTTCAGGAGGTCGGTTTTGACATCAAGTACTGGTTCGAGAAGTCTGTTAAACCTAACGGCGTTGTTGATTTCACAGCTATGCCGCTGTACGAGCTGGTCTATTCAGAAGGGCGCTTGTCTAAGGTTGCGTACGTGAACGGTGATGTCGGCATCGTGCCTCCTCACGTTACCATTCCTCCGAACATCCCACTCAGCAATGCTACTTCGATTGATGATGCTTGCTTGGTTGTGAATGGCAATCCTTTGCACGTGAGCACTAACTTCACACAGGGTACGGGGCCTCACAAGTACCGTTTGGACAAGAAGGGTCTTCGTCTCCAGGCCTTGCGCAAGCAGGCCATCGACCAAATCGAGAGCGCCAAGAAACAGTTCACTGCTATCGCGGATGCACCAGCGATGATTTCCCTGAACGCTCGGAGCAAGCGCCAGCGTGAGCAGGCGTTGGAGAAGGCGCGGGCTGACCGCGCTGCTGCTCCCAAGGTGAGGCGCCAGCTGACGTACTCTGCCCCTTAGGCTCACCACGTGTTGAGTTGCATGGTCGCTTCATTCTTCAAGTTGCCTCGGCCTGGGTTCGCCTGAGACACGTTGTTCCGACAGAAGGCCACCATAGCATGTATTCGTTGCGTGCGGGCACGTTCGCATGTGGTGCGAGAGGGGAATGGTAAAACGTACGTCCTTAAGAATGCTACTTCACCTCGTCCTCGCCCTCGTCTCCCATCCAGGCCGGCTGGTTTTTCAGAATCGACTCCGGAATGAAAGCAGTGCCGTGCTTTGTCGTCGGGGGGCGTCGATTGCGATTGGAGGCGCATGATGGACGTTGCGGTTGGCAAGTGGGAGGGGGCACGGGTCAGAGGAGGGAGTGGGAGTGGTAAGGGTAGCCTTTGGAGTTGAGAAGTCGCGCGGGTGAGCTTAGCGCAGCGCTTTTCGGTGCAAATTGGTCGCTTTGCTTTTTTTTTTTGTTTCATCGGTGACAGGCTGGCCTAGCTTGGCCTCTCTTCACCAGCGCGGCGTGAAAGCCATCGGAGGGCGCCGATCGTCGTTACTGGACCCAGCGACCCATTTGCAACGAAAGGTGCAGCGCCGAGCTCTCTACCTTTCACCTCCTCGATCCCTCACCCTCTGCGCATCGTAAGTTGGCGAAGTCAGATCTTGTCTCGCTGCCGTCTTTGCGATTGTTGTGACCTCGCCTGACTTTCGTCGCGAGACCCTGGGCGATAGCACTCGATGTCTTTACGCTGTGCCAATTCTGATCAGCGGTTCCACGGAGCCCCGTGCCCATCCGTAGTCATTTTGGCTTGAACCTTTGAGAGTTTTGTTTACGCAACCCACATCTAGTGGAGCCGATTGCCGTCGATCGCATGGCAGACGACGTGGCGGCAGCTGCTTTGCATACCGATGCTCAGAAGTTATGCCTCCTCGTCCGCTTGTGCAGTACCAAGCCAGCCCTCATCGAAGAGCTCAAAGACCGTCTTGAATCAGGAGTTCCATTGATTGTCAAAGGGGTCGAGATCCCAACCCGAGTGATCCGATCGGCCCTCGAGCAGCTTGACAGCGGCGCTGACCCCCCCATGATTCATTCCTCCACGGCAGCAGGCTCGGGCGACGCCGCTCCCGTGGCTCCCGCTGGAGAGGCAGCTGCTTTCGAGGCGTTGGAGGGGGCCATTCAACCTGCGCCGATTGCCGCTCCTGATGGCCCAGCGCCGCTTCCTCCATTGCCGCCTCCAGTGGATCCCCCTGCTGCTCCACCCCACGGCGGCGGCAATGACGTCTTCCAGTTGCGGAGCTTTGAGGGCAAGCTCGAGGTGCACCACGACGACGAGGCCATGGTGTACGAACTCATTCAGATCGACACTTTCGACAGGGCGAAGCTTCCCCCCACTTCGACGGAGTGGCTCTTAGACGTCGACGGTTGGGACGCCGCGCTCGTCGAGACGGGGGAGGACGGGAGGACGCGCGACCCCGCCGATTTGCTGAACCACCTCGCCTTCGTCCGCGAGTCCGACGGGTCCGTTGTGCTGCAGACGTCGGCGGGCGCTGCCACGCTCGCGCGCACGCTCGACGAAGCTCTGGCGAGTTCAGCCCCTTGCGCGCTGAAGGTGAAGACGTGGTCGACGACGGCGTGCGACCCGATTGACATTTCCATTTACGAGCTCAGGCGGGACGGGAATTTCGTTTTCTTCAGCTTGCCTTCGGTTCTCACCGCCGTCGGGGTCACTCGGAGGCTTCCTGTCAAGGGGTTCGTGTGCCACCAGTTCCCTGTCTGGAACAAGGCTATCAAGGTCATGGGGATCGACGCTCTGTGCAACTCGGTGGCTTACGACCAGGCGGAGGCTGCGACCCCTGCTGCCAGGGACAACCGAGCGTTGAAGGATAAGTCGTGCAGCGTCACAGGGTTGTTGTACCTTCTCGTTCGTTGGGGTTATGCGAGTAGGCAGGGCGGTGGCTTCACGAATGAGGCAGAGAAGGACGCCGCAGCAGATCTTTTAGGTCGGCTTCTGGTTGAAGTTTATGTTCTTGGTGCAGTTGTACTTGGTTTATGCACTGCAGACGTTGAGCGGCTTCCCAGTGGTTTGATTCTTGGAACAGACAGGCGCATCATGATCGACATCAGCATTGGGGGATATGTTTCCATCTGCGTGATCGGTACTCTGGGTACTTTGCGTCGCGAGGCCAAGGCGTTCGTGACTAAATTCAGGGAGAGGTTTCCACATGAGTCCCCAGGCACCATCACATTCTTCAAGTGGATCATGCTGGACTTGCCGACGTATCGAGTCACGCCAATTTTCTCAATGCAGGTGTTGCGGAGGGTCGGCGAAATACTTGACATGCGTATCTGCGGCCTCAGGAACGAGGATGAAGGCGATGGGGGCAGCATGGGCCTGGAGGAGCAGGAGAACGGCGATTCGAAGGCCATGGAGCGCGCTCTCTACGTCAAGGCTACTGAGGCTTTGCGCCAGCAGAACTCGATGCAGTTCATCCCCCACGCCCCCGACAAGTCTCGCGTCCACAACTTCGGCATTTTGAACAGCTTCTTCGCGCTGCCGAACAACGTTGGCTTCTGGGGCATACCTCAGGACTTATCGGTTTAACGCTTTTCCTTTTCGCAGGCTCTGTTCTTGGACCTCTGGATCCCGAGGGGTGAAGCACTCGAGATGGCAGTTGTCGATCTTAGGGTTGTCGATCTTAGGGTGTGCATGATGTCTCGATCGAGGGCGCGCCCTAAGATCAGCATGACGATCTTAGGGCATGCCCTCGCTCGAGGCATCATGCACACCCTAAGATCGACAACCCTAAGATTCGCATCGAGAATCCCACCACCTTGATCTGTCGGCGTCGGTGGGAAGGATGAGGGGGAGGAGATGGAGGCGAGGAGGAGTGCGAAAGGAGGAGTGGGGGTGGGGAGAGGAGGCAGGGGATGAGGAACTGATGAGCCGCCGAGGACGCTGGCGACTTCATGGGTGAAACCACGATGGCAGAGATCGTTGGCGGCGAGGAGGGCAGGCGGCAAGCGCTGAAAGCGCAGGCTGCTAGGCAGATGGCGTGGCTCAAGAGGAAGCGAGAGGGTTCCAATTCAAGTAGTTGGCATCCACCCAAGCGGCATCGCAAGTCAGCATACCAGTTCACGTGTTCGGAGCACAATGCGATGCTCAGGTTTCTCCCCGCTGGCCTTCTACACTTTCAGATTCCATCAGACCCTAAGGATCTTCAGCCTCCAGCGAAGTGGCCTCGCTTATCGATCAGCCCAGACCAAGGCAGCGACGGGGTGGCAGCCATTTCCCATTGGCTTCACATGGGGATCAACGTGGACCCTGCCTGGGACTTCAGCCACGGTGTCCACAGCGATATCTACGGTGGGCTGGAAGCCGCTGGCTTGGGAACTCACATTACTATGTCTCTGTTGCGGATCAACGTGCCAGTCTCGCCGTGGGACGAGAACCTTCGTTGGGGCCAGGTCACTGGAGTTTTGAAGGAGGCCTTTGCTACTACGGCAGCGATGGGCAATTATTTCTTCCAGGATTTCGTCGATGAGATGTTGTCAGAGCCTGCAGGGCAACCGTTCGCGGGGTGCGAAGACCCCGCCAGCGCACTCTGGGCGCACTTGTGTGAGTCCAATGCCTTCAGCACCAGGGGGGGCAAGACGTTGAAGAACCGTTTCTTGGCAGTTATTCGGAAGCTCCGATCGGAGCTGAATCATTCAGCTCAGAGGAAGTTCGGCTACTTGTTGACGTGCGTCGAGATGGGCATGGTCGGCAATGCAAGGTTTGCTCGTCTCGTGAGGTCGGGCGCTGAGCTCACGCGGACCACCAACAGTCGCGTGGAGACTGATGAGGGGAAGAGCCTGCGGAAAGGCATGTGCCAATCAAATGGTTGTCGCACTGATGGATTGGCTAGGGCCCGATACCACGATGCTCGACAAGATCGTTGTCGGCGCCTCGGAACCGTGCGGGCAGTGGTTCGGCATGAGCAACGCAGGGCTCCGCGATACTTCCAAGACAGCGCCATGGCTGAAGAGGCAGATTTCAGGAGAGTTGCTGGCACACCTGAGGGACGCGATCTCGGTGATCTCGAATGCGTCAAAGCTCCAGGAGTTCGACTTCATCCTTCCCACTGGGCACAACATCGCGAACATGCCTCGCGAGGATCACGAAGCCAGGGAGAATGACATGATGCAGAAATTGGCCCACGCGTGCGTCGGCATCGTGGGGTCCCGTGTGAAGAGGTCCCTGTGGATGCTGCAGGGCTGGAACTCCCGTTCAGTTTTCTTCACGGAGGACTCCGCTTTCGCTCGTGCAGAGGTTGATCGCATGAAAGCAGACTACGACAACTACCAGGTGATCAAGCGGAACAACGACGTGGAAGGGCTGAGCTTTTTGGTGTCTCGCAGCTCGCGGGAGCGGACGTCGCAGCAGCAGGTGTACGGAGTTCTGGAGAGCGACGGTTTCGTCATCACAGAGAAGGTTCATACGTTTTTCAAGCAGTGCCACAGCAGGGTCATCGGCTCCCAGATCGTGGAAGACGGCTTCAACGACCAGAAGAACAGCGTCCCACATAAGAATAGGAATGGTACGATCGAGACTGCGCCCCATACGTTGTTCGACAAACGAGTGGCGTCTAAGAAGCACGATTTCACTGAACTGACTTTCCCGAAATCCAAGTTCACACGTGACCTCAAGGTGCCTGTTGAGGCTTACAGGCCAGCTTTCTTGAGCATGCCGCAGGTGTTCTCCAATGTTACGTCTGCCCAGCAGGCGACGCCTTGGTACTCACCGAAGGCGAATGAGTGGAGCGCCAGATTTGCGGATTCGGTCATCATAGAGCATGCTGTTCGTTTCGATCGCTTGGACAAGATCCAGCACGCCTGGCATGGCGAGATGTTCATGACCACGTCGAAGTTTGCCGTTCGGTGCAAGCTGGGAGGTGCAGCAACGCCGTGGCTCTTGCCTCTCACTCACTTCCCGAAGAGCGCCGCGGTTGCGTGGCCTCTTCAGGAGCATGCGCCTGCGGGTGGAGGCTTCACGTTCATGAGGTTGTCCGCAGATGTACCCGACTTGAGGGAGTTGCTTCATGCGGTGGTTGACCCGAGCGATTGGGAGGCGATCCCAGTGGAATGGGTATCAGTTTATTCTCAGTGTCTTCTCCTTGGAGATCAGGGTCCGAGACAGTTGCCAGGTGGCCTTGGCGGTAGGCTTCGTGTCGTCGGACCTCCTGGGCCTCTCCTTGCAGTCGCTGCTCGCACGTGCTTCCTTGGCATGAATAAGACGCAGCTGGTCAGGCTGATGAAGTACCAGGGGGTCGCGTCCGAGGGCTCCACTTTGTACGAGGTCTTGGAGGCGCTCATCAAGCACAACCTCAGCGAGCCCGACCGCCCCCTGAGCGAGGAAGAGTTGCTGGAGATCATGGCGATCAGGATGGTCCAGTCAGTCTCGAATCAGAACGCTGCCCTGGATACCTTCATGCACGTCGAGGGCTCGAACCTTCTGTTCTGCCCTGAGGACCGCGACAGCTGGACGACGACAGCTAACGTACACAGGCGGGCCATGCAGGAGCGCGACGACTTCACCAGAGATTGGACTGCGAAACGGAACGCCGTTCGAGGTCCTCCCGAGCCAGCCCACGTGGGCAAGGGCAAGGGCAAGGGCAAGGGCAGAGGCAAGGGGGGTGCTTTGCCAGGTGGAGGCGGGCCTCCTAAGAAGATCCCTGCGGGCGACATCGCCCAGGCGCAGATTCGCCATCTTGTTCCGCCTGGAGCACACGTGTGGCGCGCCAACGTGCAGGGGTCCTGGAACGGCCACCTGAAGCCGTTCAGCAGGTTCAGTGCTTCGTGGCAGTTGTATGGCCATCGTGAGAGCTTGCTCATGGCGTTGCGGGGCCTCTGGTCCAAGTATTTGACTGGGGAGGGATTGGGCACTGAGCAGTGCCCGATTGCAGGCCTCTTCGACGATGGGCCCGCTGGCATTCCTTAGGTAGGATCTGTTTTTCTCAGCTCGAGCCCGCGCTGCCGATTTGTCCTGCGATGCACGCGGCAACCTCTTCGGCTGCATGATGGGGTCTGCAGTCGATCTCCCACTCGCTCATCTCTCATTCATCGTCTTCTTCTCGCCCATCTCGCTTCGTGTTCTTTTGCGGTGGCCTGCGCTCTTGACGGGAGGGAGTGGCTTGAGTAAGGGGGCTTAGAGTAGTCCCGAGGAGGAGGAGGAGGAGGAGTGAACGAGTTCGCCGACTGCGAACTTAGAGGGTCGATGCTTTGTGTGCATCGTATATCTAGAGTTTTCCGTTAGCTGCTCAGGGGTTTGCAGTTTGCCTCTCCGTGCACGTGCCAGTGTCAGCGTCATGGGCCAAGCCGCAGAGTGGCCGTTTTCCGATGCAGAAGCCGAGTGAGATCCCCAACGTGCGAGTGGTTGGAACTACGACTTGCGATCTCCCCCTCTCCCCCAGAGGCCCTCAGCGGGGCCAAGGTTCTAACGTCGAGTTCGTTTGGCCATTGAGTTTGGTTTTCGCCTGCTCGCCAGTGGGACCCCTCCATGTCGGATTGGGCCTCGGGGGCCTCAGATGATGTTCGCGACGTGCGCCCCAAAGGATCCGTAAGAGGGTTGGGGGGTAGTCATCGCCAGAGGTCCGAGACGCCCCCTGCTTCTCCCCCGCGACGGCAACGATGATAAGTGCGACGGCTAGCGATTGAAGGAGGGCAGTCGGCGGCGACGCTAGCGACGACGGCAACGATGATCACTCTGAGAAGAGAGGGGATGGCGACATCATGGAGAGGACGACCACGATGACGACAACAATGACGACGATGAGGATGGCGACGTTGACGAATGTGTCGGCTCTTTGCGCGCGGTCAGGCTCAGCCCGCGGGTTCAGTTGCTTTCTTGACCTGAGAGGTCAGCCTAGTGTTCAGCCGAGCGAGAGGTTCCAGAGAAGGCGCGTCGGCTTCGGAAGGGGCGAAAACAGAGGCCGCCGTCGCCGCTGTCGGCACCGTGCCTTCCGCCACTACTTCTCGTGGACGTGCTCTCCCTTATCGATCTCAAGCCCTCTCGTCCCCGCCGCCGCTCTCTCTCTCTCTCTGCCGCCGCTGCCAACCACGGTCGTTCCTCATGCGATTTCTCCCCCTCCGATCCTCAGCGCCCCTGGTGCTTCCCGATCTTCCATCAACCTCCAGCATCTCCACAGTCCAGGTTCGAAGCTCAAGCGAAGCATGCTCGGCCGCGACAGGCCTGATCCGCATGGGGCCGCCGTGTTCGGTGAGGTCCGCGAAACGGCCCCGCCGATCTTAGGGATAGGGATGTGTTTCGAGCTGGTCATGAATGCCCGGAGCCAACTGTAGACCACTTCGTGGACTTCGAGTTCCCAGAATTCCATTCCTGGGCATGATTTTGAATGCCCGGAGCCAACTGCAGGCCACTTCGTGTTCTTCGAGTTCCCAGAATTCCATTCCCGGGCCACATTTTGAATGCTGAGGCAGGATGAGGCTGAGGCTGAGGCAGGCTGAGGCTGAGGCAGGCTGAGGCTGAGGCCGAGGCTGAAGGCAGACTGAGGCTCAGGCTGAAGCAGGCTGAGGCTGAGGCTGAGGCAGGCTGAGGCTGAGGCTGAGGCAGGCTGATGCTGAGGCAGGCTGAGGCTGAGGCTGAGGCTGATGCAGGCTGAGGCTGAGGCAGGCTGAGGCTGAGGCCGAGGCTGAAGGCAGACTGAGGCTGAGGCTGAAGCAGGCTGAGGCTGAGGCTGAGGCAGGCTGAGGCTGAGGCTGAGGCTGAGGCTGAGGCTGAGGCTGAGGCTGAGGCTGAGGCTGAGGCTGAGGCTGAGGCTGAGGCAGGCTGAGGCTGAGGCCGAGGCTGAAGGCAGACTGAGGCTGAGGCTGAAGCAGGCTGAGGCTGAGGCTGAGGCAGGCTGAGGCTGAGGCTGAGGCAGGCTGAGGCTGAGGCAGGCTGAGGCTGAGGCCGAGGCTGAAGGCAGACTGAGGCTCAGGCTGAAGCAGGCTGAGGCTGAGGCTGAGCAGGCTGATGCTGAGGCAGGCTGAGGCTGAGGCTCAGGCTGATGCAGGCTGAGGCTGAGGCAGGCTGAGGCTGAGGCCGAGGCTGAAGGCAGACTGAGGCTGAGGCTGAAGCAGGCTGAGGCTGAGGCTGAGGCAGGCTGAGGCTGAGGCTGAGGCAGGCTGATGCTGAGGCAGGCTGAGGCTGAGGCTGAGGCTGATGCAGGCTGAGGCTGAGGCAGGCTGAGGCTGAGGCCGAGGCTGAAGGCAGACTGAGGCTGAGGCTGAAGCAGGCTGAGGCTGAGGCTGAGGCAGGCTGAGGCTGAGGCAGGCTGAGGCTGAGGCTGAGGCAGGCTGAGGCTGAGGCTGTGACTGCGACTGCCGTTGCCACTGCGACTTTCATCGCGAATGCGACTGCGACTGCGAGAACAGCAGAACTCTACAACTGGATTCTCATGTGAATCTTAAGGGGAATGCTTCCAGATGTGCTCCTACACATCGCTGTTAGGTTGCTTTGCCGGGATATTTTTTGAGGTTGTTTTTTGTTATTTTGAATGTTTTCATTGTTCGTCCAAAATCGGCCTGCAGGGGGACATGCCCGACCTAAGGGCGCGCGGTCGGGGACTTTGGACGGCGCGTCGCTCCGCCGGTTCTGGCCCGTCTTTGCTTGCCCGCCCGCCCCGCCGGCCCTGGCCTCCCGCCTGGGCGTGCGTCGTCGTCTGCCTGCTTCTCCCCTCCTCGTCCCCTTCCGCCGGGCAGCACAGCCTGCCCCGGGACCAGCGTGGCGGCATGTTGTGCAAAGGCGGCCCCGCGACAGGGTGAGGACGGCTTCACAATGGCCCCAAGAGTTATGATGTTTCGACCTGCTTTACCCTTGATCACCAGAAGTAATTCCGAGCACCAAGAAAGTATCGAAACCTGAGGGTTTTCACGTGTCGGGCCCTGGGGGGCGATACTCGCTCGACACTGTCTCGATACTTTTCTGGGTGCTCGAGACTATTTCCGGGATGTGGCCCTTCAAAGTACGATGACCACAGCATAGCCCAAGAGGCCCCCAGGGCGTCCTCGCCTCGAGCCTCTCTGGCCCCCCCCCCGCCCTGTGGGAGCGGGGAGCGGCACGTTGTCCTCCGCCTGCAGGGCGCACCGCGTGCCGCCAGGGCTGCCGCTGCGGCGCGACGTGAGCCAAAGCTCTGCCCCTGCGGCGCGGCCGCTGCGTCGCCCTCGTCGTCCTCGTCCTCGTCCTCGGCGTCGGCGTCGGCGTCGGCGTCGTCCTCGACCCTCGTCCTCGTCCTCGCCGTCGCCCAGGAGCGCGACGACCCAGATGCTCGATGCTCGGCGATCGGCGGTGGCGGCGACCGCTCCGCGTCTGCTCCTCGACCCTCGTCGCCCCGTCGGCGGCATCCGTCCTGCTCCCCGCTCCCGCTCCTCGGGCCCCGCTCCGCGGTCCCTCCCCCCGCTGGGGTGCGGTATCCGTGAGGGTCATGTTAAGCTTGAGTCGGGCCTGTCCCTCTACAGGAGGAGTACTCAAAAGTAGTAAAGTTGCATGGGGACTATGTTTGCACATTGTTTGAATATCTGTATTCCCTACCTAGGCTCTGCCTAGAAGGGTTCTTACTCTCTGGGCTTAAAGGGGCCGGGCAGTGGAAAGCGCCCCGGGCGGTTCCCCCAGTATCCGCCCCGCGGTTCCCCCAGTTACGTCCCCTTAGCTTAGCGTCGCTTATCCCATCTTAGCTTAGCTTATTTCATCTTAGCTTAGCTTAACTTCATCTTAGCTCAGGTTTATCTTAACTTAGCTTACCTTCATCTTAACTTCGCTGAGCTTTAGCATAGCAGAGCACAGCATAGCATAGCATGGCGTAGCATAGCATAGCGCAGCACAGCATATCATAGCATAGCCCAGCTTAGCTTAGCATGGCGCAAGGCTGCATTAGCATAGCATAGCATAGCATAACATAGCCAAATATAGCATATCATAGCATAGCATAGCGCAGCATAGCGTAGCATAGCATAGCATATCATAACATACCATAGCATAGCATAGCATAGCGCAGCTTAGCATATCATAGCACATCATATCTTATTATACCGTGGATGTAAAGAATTAACGCGAAAACAATTCGTAGCGTTGGATTTCGCCACTCAAAGGCCTCAGGAAGAACGCTTCGGTAAGATGTCTGGCAGCCAATGAAAATGTAAAACATAAGCGCGAAACACGGAAGAACGTTTCCTTCGCCCGTGGCGGGTTACGCCGAGGTTGTGTTCTATCTCTTTGCATGGCGGAGTTCAACGTTACGAATGGTTTTTGCGTTAATTCTTTACAGCCACGGCTGCCATTTTGACACGGCCCCAATTTTGCGCTTGGATTGCAACTTTGCCGGCCCACTTCGCCTCTGCCGCTTTCAGATGCCCGTTGACATCGCGCATTGCTTCCGCAGGCTCCCGCGGGCCCCGCGGGCCCCACGGGCCATGTAAGACAACCAATCCCCACAGGCGTCGCAAGTCCCGATGGCCCCATGAGTCCCACCTGCGTCGCAGGCCCCGCAAGCCGGACTGTTCTCGCAGGTCCCAGGAGGCTCCGTGCGTCACACGGGTCCCACGTGCCACAGACGCCCCCCGGGCCCCCGATAAGTGGTATGTCCCATGGGCGTCGCAGGCCTCACAGGTTCACAGGTCCCACGGGCAACGATTGCGACATCGCCACGAATTGCTCTCTCGGACGTTACGATGCGTTCGGTCCTAGCCTGGCTAAGACGAAGGGATGATGAGGTTGCCAGGAATGGTGTTCTGGGACATTACGATTTGTTCGGTCACAGCCTGGCTAGGACGAAACGATGATGATATTGCCAGGGATGGCGTTCTAGGGCGTTATGATTTTTCACCACATCCAAAGTGGGGTTCTTGTTTTCTCTGGACACCCCGCGCAGGAACAGGACAGGAACACACACACCCACTCACACTCACTCACACTCTCTCATCATCAACCTCATCAGCATCATC